GCCGGGCGCCCCCTCAGCCTGCCTCCAGCCCTCGGGTTTTGTATCGCGGAGAGAACAGAGCCGCTCCTTGGTTCCCGAGATTGCGGCAGGGTTATAGTTTCGGAGTTGTTGGGGGCTTGCACATAGTTGGGTCCAGCCCCTCTGCGCTTGGGCAGGAAAGCCTGCCAGTGCTTTAGCGCTGTGCATTCCTCGGGTGTGTGTTGTGCATCACGCTTGCGTGGCACCCTGGAGAGGGTCTCGCGGTGCCCTGGCTGCGGGTCGCTGGGTTGCCCGTGTTGATTACTTGGCCTGGAGGATAGAGCAAGCGGTGGTGAAGTTACAGGTGATACCCAGCCCCTTGCCATCCCCCACTGCTTGAGACTGCTGCTGAGGTTATCTCGCTGCAGTTGTGCTTTGCTTTCTGGAAGATGCTCCTTAGTCACCGAGTTGCTGTGCAGACAGTCGGAGCCTGCTGTTGGTGTGAGGTGGGGTGCTGTTGTCGGGACAGCGTGCAGAGACTCACGCTAGCGCTTGAATTTCGATTCCTTCTTTCCAAAGCCGCCTCCATCGTATTGCCTTCTGCTTGCGTGTCTGCGCTAATGTAAATGCAGTCGTGTTGGATCCTCAGCGGCTGAGCGTGTCCACTGTCTTGGCTGTGAGGTTGGTGGCACTTTGATCTAGTTAAACAAACTAGACAACATCATTGGCAGCTTTTCATCTTGGATCATTCCCCCCCTCATTTGCAAAATTAGTGATTAGGTTCAAAGGGAAAAATCATGCGCTTAGACTTGGGCTCTGATCCTGTAAAGATTCAAGTACATGCTTGACATTATGAACTGTGATTTGGTCCACTTGATTTTTGGTGCTTGTGCTTGCATCTCTTAAAAGGTTGAGGTTAAAGATGATACATAGTAGTTCAGTGTGTACTTGCCTGCAAAAAACCCAACTGTTATTCTCAGACACTGATTCCTGCCCTCTATCCCCCCCACTAAGTTAGTATATTTTTCTGCGATTTGCCAGGGAAGAAAGCAGAAGTGGAGTTTTTCTGAGTTTATTAAATGAGCCTTGGGTGTGCCCTCCAGTTTGGTAGTACGTTGACGACATTGTTGTATAGAGTTTGTCTTTGCTTTTCTAATGCATGCACGGTAACTATTTGTAAAGTTGTTTATGCTTTTAAATACATATATTAAAAACACGTGTGCATACAAGTTGGGCTGATTGGGTTTTCCAGGAGACTTAATTTCTCATTGTGCTCCTCCATTTCCTTTTCACTGTGTCCTGCCTCCCCTGTGTTTGTATTAGTTGCAGTTTAACATAGCTAGAAAGTGTCTGGCTAGAAACCAGAGAGGCACATTTTGTCTCAACTAGTATGTGTGCCTTGGTGGGACAGATAGCTAATAAATAACCGCCGGACTTGAAAGTTGTGACCCTTGTTCAGCTGAACTGTGTTCCTTTTTTCCCCGCCCTTC